CATTAAGTTCCAGCGACATAACGGACCGTATGAATAAAAACTAAGAAGTTGCTTTTTTTAATTTCGGACTTTTTACTCAATTTATTCAATAAAATTTAGGTAAAATGGGAAAACATAAATTTTCACTGAAACTGCTGAAAAAATGGCAATAAGTGGCACTATAAACTCAACAATTTTGAGAACCCGAACAACGGGACACTAATGCTGATCTTATGAATGCTAAACGAGTTTGCATAGTCTCTGCGGGCATTGTAGAGGCCTTAATGCTGTCCCATAAATTAAGTGTTTCAAAGTTTTTTCTCCTTCCGAGCGGCAAATGGGTTTTATGATCATCTGTTTTTTTATGATAGAAGTGCACTATGGCGAACTCCATTGATCGAGTGGCAGCCAATGTTAATGTAAGCCCCTTGGATGTATTATAGACCACATGACGTGTTCCAATGAGTGGTAATGTTAAGCTAGTTGCCTTAATTTTAAGTATTAACCAGTTTTTATGTCAAAATTCAGTTACGCATTTGAAATACAAATTCTGCTTACTGAGGTTATCACTTGGTAAATGGAAGTCTGTCATCGTCGCTCCAGTAGTACGGAAGCGTCGAACAAGTTTTTGAGAAATATCTCATCAAAAAATCACTGCGCCTCGCTTCTACCCAAAGAAGCGCTCATGCCATCATCGTGGTAAGGTTAAGGCCTTCCTCAAGGATGGTCCCAGTTAACCAGTTCATATTATATGCTTCACTGGGTACAAAACTGGTATGACTGATATATTACGTGATGCCGACCGTACTGGACGTAATGTCAGCAAAAAGAAGGTCGTTGAAGCAGCAACCGCCTATAAAACTCCAACAATGATTGTAGTTGGTGCTGTAGGTTACATTGAAACAAAAAATGAAAAGAGTTTTACCGAGCCTAGCAAGGGTCGGCAGCTAACTTGGCCATAGTAAGATCAAATGGGTGCATTAAAACTTAGAGAAATACGTGCGTGTCAGCAATTTCTTCGGAGAGGATGAGATGGTAGACTGTGTTGATGTTTTCACGGGGTAAAGGTTTTACGGGAGTAACTGCTCATTGGCGTACACATAAAGTATAACGCAAGGCTGCGGTATATTCCCTGCATCGGCGTTTGGCATCCATTTCGTGTGTTCTTCACCCTCATAAGTGCCGGTTAAAAGGATCGGTGGCAGCGTCCACATCAACGAAGGCTTCACTGAGTATGATTTAACTAATTAGAGCATCATCCCCATGCTTGGTTTCCGCAATATGGTAAGGTTACTAATAAGTTTGTAATGCTGAAGGGTTGCTGTATTGGCTCCAAGAATTACGCGCTTACAATAAGAAAGCCGTTATTGAAGCGATCCCAATGTGAACAAAATCAAACACAAATTTACAACTGATCGTATAAGATGGGTTATGGTCAATTCCACCACCATTGCCATTTATGGGTCCACTCAAAAGCATCGCATCAAGGAGGCTACTCCCACCGCTAGTGCTGCACACCAAATTAGCCCATATATAGGTGCTCATTTGTATTTAATTGTTTTCTAAATAAAACTGCGAGATTTAACCCGGAAAATATCCTGTAAACGATACCCAACCAAATGCCAAAACTCAGCGATTATCCATGGATCTAACTGCTGCGCCTAAAATTCTGCCGGAAAAATTTGAAAAAAACAATTTTCTATGTAATTTTTCAGAACTGCTGAGTACGTAAAAACCAAGCAATGTTTATATTCAGCGTCAAAGTTCTATGCGCAGTAGTTAAACCAATTGCTATGCTATGAGTTTAGACAGTGGCGTGGGAATAAGGTAGAAAATTTATTTAACTCACAATGGTTCTAAAACTATGTTCATATTACAGCGTAAACTAGTAACTTTCGACCAAATTATTTCAAATTAATCCGGTGCGTTCACACGTGCTTTTCTGGTGTTTACACTTACTTGATTAGCACGTGTAAGAGTGCGGGGTTTGTACTTGATTTCAAAATAAATGATTGCATACCTTTAGGCATGTTTTTTTTTAATTTTCCCAAATGTAGGGGCTAAAATTAATGACAAGTTTTTTTTTTTCTACATTTTCATCCAATTCCTACTTAATTTATTGACAGACACTATAAGGCGAAACTACGTAAGGCGTTTTCGTTTCTAAAAAAAATGTTGCCTTTTCATTGCCCGTTTATTACTGTTTGTGCTTAGAGATCTATGGGAAGGTAACATTTTTCAGTAGAAACGAAAACGCCTTAAGACTCATGAAAAAGTATATTTAATTGATCAGGACGTAGAGATGAGACGATTTAGCGACGTCTGTCCCAGCAATTTCAGGCCAAATTTTGAGCTTCGGGGGAAAAAATAGAAATGTTCGTTAGACTTAATGATATTCTATTTAAATAGACTTTCTTCAATACAAATCTAATCCCACTGTAAATATTACGCAAACTAAATTGATTGAATTCATGGTAACGGCAATGTTCGGAAGGCGTAGCATGTTTTATGATGGGCTCAAAGACGATATGTCCACTATCATATTATATTCCTTCGCCTTCCGTATTACAGAAGCATTTTCCAGGTGAATGAAAACAACTTTTTTGGGTCTGAAAAACTCCAAGTACAGACATTTAAAATTTAAAAATTTTTTATTTTTTTTTTTAACATCTTTGCATGAGTATGGTTTACACAAGTCTCTCATAATTTTCTACGCATATAATTTTATAGTTATCTCAAATTGCAAACACTCACCTCCCATCCACTACACAAGTATTCAATTTCGTTTATGACAAAATTCCAGCAAAATCACATCTTGACATTAGAAACTCAACTGCAGTTACGTTAATGGTAACGGTAATGCAAATGCGTTTTCGATTATATTCCATACAGCCCGTCAAAGCGCACTGCCATCTCTGACATTAACGAACTGTCTGTCAGTTATGTTACCCTCTACGCTTCGCTACCATTTTCACATTTCACGCTTACAGCACAGTTTCGAGCTGGTATGGTCGACCTACGAGCGGTATCTCAATTGTGGCAGCCGTTGTTAGTTTAGGGCAATGCATTGCCACCGCAACGCCTCTACTGCTAGCCTTTGCCAGCGGTCTTTTTCCGCAACAACGCATTACATCATCGTCGTTGTTAAACTCGCTGCATTGCAACTCAATACTATTAAGCCAGATGGGCAGGTGATGGCAAGTGTTTGCATGTGCCATTGGTACATTATTTACGTGCAACGTTGTGCTGAAGACAGCTGTAGTTGGCTGTATTGGTTGATTTGGCTGGTAGGGTTGTTGTGTTGTGGGATTGGGTGTCGCCCGTGGTGCGACGCATGTTGGTGCTGTTGCAGCGCCAGCATTTTGTTGCTGTTGTTGTTGTTGTGCCATGTCAGAGAGCTCCTGTGCGAGTTGATGATTTTGTAATCGTCGATTGGGGCGAAATTGGAAGGGTTTGCGGTTTTCCAGTATTAGCTTGATGTCACGAGCCGATTGCCACCATCTGCGGTTAGAGAATAGTAAATGAAGAAAATGAGAAAAATATACCTGCTCTGTAGGTGGATTATTGCGTTATTTAATGTGACATGTGTGTAATTTTTGGATGGCAAATTGGAAGGCAATATACTGCTACTCAGTTGGGCAGAATGGTACAACATAGTGTTTACCACGAGGTGAAAAAGAAGAAGAATCAACAGCGGGACTTACAGCATACAGAACTAGGATTGATTTTTCTATTCAAAAATCGCTATAACACTTTACGGTACCATAGAATAGTATTAGTAGGCGATCGACTAGCATATCGTTAGCGAATACCATTAAGAACCTTCGGCACTACTTACCAAGTGGATAATACTTAGCATATCATTTGCAAAACTTTGTTTTTTTTTCAAATTATACACTTATCACGGTAACCTGGAAACCATTTCAACCCTCAAGTTTCTTCCTTTCGCCGATTCCTGTTGCTACTATTTCGGGGGACCTCACTGAACTTTTTCCAAAAAAAACTTTTACTAATTCAAATAATACACAAAAATTTAAAAAAATTGGTTTCCTAAAATGTTAAAGTTGTTTTTGATAGACTTTTACGCATCTGTAAGTAAAAATTTTCCATCAGCTTTAGGTTTTGAGAAAAACGTGGTAAAAGTATCAAAAAATCGCGTTTCGCAATATTTGAGAAGCTCTGGCAAGGAAACACTTAGGCTTAAATTAAAGCTAGAACTCTTGGCTACTATCCCTTCAAAAATACCATTCGTGCTCCTTGACTTGATGGTCAGTTATAGTCATTTATTGAACAATGAACTTCGCCAAAATCAGTTTGTAGTAAATTTACAAACTCATTTATATATAGCCTACTATAAGCAACTACCATAGCTATACCTGCATACCAAATTTCAATCTCGTGGGTCTTATGGTTCCGAAGTTACAGCTGATAAAAAATTTAACGCCTATGGGAGGTGCCACGCCCCCTTGTCGAATCCCAAATTTTTTTTCTCCCCATTATAGGCCTAAGTGTCATTGTAGTACTCTGTCAAAATTTCGTTCGATTCTGTCTGTCCGTTTAGGCTGCAACCGGGCACATACATACATACATACTTCCACAAATATATAGTAGATATCCATCCTTCTCTTAGCGTAAAATAATTTTTGGGGATATCTCGGCCACAGGGCCACCTATCGTGTATGTTTTAAGTCCGAATATTTCTTTTCAATTGGCTAAATTGTATTCTAAATATGAGCCAAATCGGCAAGTAAATCCAATTTTTAGGAATATCCTGAAATCGGTACAGCCGTTTCTCTATGGAATTGTGAAATTGTGGCGTCTCAGCTTTCTTCATTTTTTGGCAACAACAACAAAAAGTTTCGAATTTTTAAAAATCGAAAAACCTTCCACACAGAAGGTCCAAAAAAGTGCTTTTTACAGAATTGAAATCGGTTCAGCCATTTGGTCAGGCAGCGCCGTCACACGAAAAAAATTTCATTTTCATATATATAGAATAAATAAACATTTATAGCAAATATAAATACATACAGGTTTGACTATGTATGCCTACGGAAGATTGTAATGCAATGAAAATACAGAAGTAGTAATAAAACTAGTAAACTATATACAAAAAAAAAGCAAATGGTAGTCACAATGTCTGGACATGGAAATTGAGTAATAAAACTAACAATCTCATGCGTTTCGGCTTTTTTGGTTCTCTTTTAGCTAGTTTGTTTCGAAAGAAGCGATTTTAGCGCTTGCAACTAATTGAGTTTGCATATAAATGAAAATGGCAAAAGGAAAATGGAAAATGAATTTACTACTAGCACAATAACATTGCGAAATAAGTGATTACAGCATTGTCACGGCTACTGCAAAGCATCCAACATATTCGGGCAACAAGACTCACTGCCTCCAGCTTCCATATTGCATCTGCATATGCAGACAAAAAAAAAATGGCAACATAGTGCAAATACATAGCGGCGGGAGTCATGAAACGTCACAAAGTGGCATTTTTGGTGAAATAGTAACGTTGTGAACAAAACTGAATAAACTCTGCACCGCACTGGTTTGTTTGCGAATGCAAATATTTGAATTTTTTAGATGCGGTTGCCGTTAGAGCAGTCATCAATTCAGTTACTCGTACTCTTATGGCTCACGAGTATCAAAAAATATCACATTTCTATCCAGGTGTGTAACAACGTTTAAGTTATACATATGTATGTATGCACATATTTACGCGTAGGTGCAAGTGTGTGCTTACAAAGCGCGCTCTTGAATGCGAGAATCTGTTGGTTAAGCCCTGTTATTCCGCAATGAAAAGCACTTAAGCGTATCCACAGCAGCAAAGAACAATAAACAAAAAACTAACTAAGCATTTGTGATTCGCTGTCCAGTTGGTTTTTCCTCTTTTGTTGACATGGCTAGTTGACTATTTGACTTTCGCTCGTTTATCTGTCCAATGGCAATTTACCATTTTTGTTTGTGCAATTTTTTTCTATACTACTCGTTAGTTTTTATGCGCTTTCCTATGATGCGCCGGCTCTGTGGTTAGTAAGATTTGCTCTTTTCGTATTGCATTCCCGCAAATAAATAAATAAATTCGAGCATATATGTATGTATCAACTGGAATGAATGCAAAACGCAAGTGGGATTTTTAGGGAATGCGCCGAAATTCATGGGTCACACATAATCCTACAATGGATCATACATACTCGTATGTAAAGAGCTATGAACGTATGGGTGAATATGTGGCTTCGGTTGGTACCGTAAAAGATTTTCTTATTATTATTATATTTTGATAAACAAAACTTTGATTACTCCTCTGGTCAACTAATTAAGTTAGTGGCATTTTGAAATTGTTTGAAAATTTTTCTTTGTATATTTAATAAGTATTTGTTTTTCTTTCATTTCAAACTTTTTGGAAAATCATGAAAATTGAAAATTGTTAAATTAAATTTTATCACGATAAATGATTTCATTGTATAGGTTAATTTTTTTTTTTAAATCTGCAATCAAAAAATTGTTTCATTCGCACACTTACTTTCAAAGAAAAATTTCTAAAACACTGCAAAAATTTTCAATTGTTGATTAAAAAAAACTATTTGGAATTTTGCAAGAAATTTGAAAATATTAATCTTGGTAAATTCGGAAGAAGCCTTACCCATAAGGAAAAAAAACTTGTATCCCCTAATTCAGCTAATCTAAAATCACACAAAAGTTTACATGTACACTGGAGCATCAGTGGAATTATCTGACCATTTTGCTAATGCACCCATTTACATATGTAGTAGTTATTCATGATCACTTACCGATACCAGGGGCTCAGCTGCGATTTAAGTATCATATAAATATTTATGAAATATATGGTCAACTGCAAAAACCGAAAGAAATGAAAATATTATTGCATTTCCTTTTTAGTAAACACATTTGATACGCACCGTTGTAAACAGAAAGAATACAAGCCAACCCTTGGTCCACATACGACTTAGTCCCCAGGCTTGTCCTTGCAAAAAATAGTATTGAATACCAACGAGTAGAGTACCAATAATGCCGAAGGCCACCAAAGTGAGCAACGAAAACATTTGACAGTCTTCCTATTGAAGGAGAAGGTTCATGGAAAATTAAATTAAAAAGTGAGGAAAGATTGTAGTTGATACAAATGCATAGTATGTACACACATAAATTAGGTAGATTTTTGGATTGAGTAATACTAATGTTTTGGAGTAACATTTGATTCAAAAGTGAAAAAATCTATAGTAATTAAAGCGCTGGGGTTGCAGAAATCATATTTCGTTTGTAAAACTGGGATTTCCTTGAGCGTCGTGGATACCTATGAGATTTTAAGGATTAGATGATACTTAGTGGGAATAAAGAAAAAAAATTACTTAAACAATTTTTTTTTTAAGTAAGTGCAATGCATGTATGCATATCAAGTTAAAGAGAAGAGTCTGCAAAATAAAACAGATAAAATTTGTTGGTGCATTAGGCGAGTAGGTATTGAAAATGTCCTTTTAAAATTTTATCCTTGAAAATCTGCAGCACTTTTCTTTTTTTTTGAAAAAAGTATACGTTAAGGACTAATTACACTCGAACATATCGTCGAATTTCGTTTTTCTTACTTTATTAGTTTAAAAAAATAAAATTTATTAAAAGGGTATTTTCAGTACATTTTCGTCCTTGTGAACCAAAAAATTTAATTTCTTTTTAACTAAACAGAATTGTTTTTCATTCATTTGGTACCCACATTGTTATTCTAAATTGCACTGAATTGTTTAATTAACTCTTGAAATTAATCAAATAACTCTAAAATTACAAAGTCCTTTAGAAAAATCCTAACGTCAGAGCGAACAACTAAAAACGCAGTTTAATATATTTTGGCTCAAGGCGAATTCATACAAGGTGATAGCGGCAGCACCAAAACAGAAAACTACACTAACAAATTATACGCACAATGAAAACAAGAACGCAAAAAATTTACAACAAACACATAATTTTGACAATTAGCGCAATTCGCATTGAAATCAGCTGCCCCGGTAACGTCACCTTGCATGAATTTGCCCTGTTTTGGCCGTGGTTTCGTGTGCATATTGATTGCTTGCTGGGTTTTTGGTTTTTGTTTTTTTTTTCGCACGGTTGACAGTTGAAATACAGTTGCCAAAATGTATCTGGTTAACCTGACGCTTGAGTAAGTCCCCCCAATTCCCCACGACTATTTTCACCCAAATCATATCTCTCCTTTTGAAATTGTTCATTTAAAATTTGCTTTCCAAGAAAATCTTTTCGAACATCAACTAGTCGAATATCAACTATTTAACATAGCTGAACCTTTTATGATTTTTTGCTATAAACACATATATAATTTTGTTTCCTCGAAAATGAAAAACTCACTGTTTGTAAATATACAAGCTAGTTCACGCTTTAAGTAGTTAATTATTTAGCAAACTCCCTTAGCCGTAAGCGAAAGGCCTCTTTTGCGTGGAACATAGAAAGACTAAACGTTAAGCTCTTGTAAAGGGGAAATTTAAAATTAAATACGAAACTAAAAGAATATGTAATTAATTGAAAAAGTGAATCACTTTACTTTTTTCCAAGGTTAACGATACATATGCATGTATGTATGTATGTAAATGTATGTAATTATAAGCACCTGTGAAAATTCAGTCAACAATCACTCACGCACTCACCTGCAAGGCACGTCGACTCATAGAGCGTGAATACCACATACGCAGCGATTGAAGGCAAGTATATCTGCAAAATACAATAAAAATAAAAAAAATCATTACAACAATGCAGGTGGTAAATAATGAAAATGTAAATTTATATCGACGTTGATGGAATTGAACTTATTTATAATTATTTACGCAAGCAACAAGGATAATTTATTAAGTGCAAACTCGACCGCTGGGCATTCAGGAGGGCTTTTATCGAGCAGAAAAGCTGCTTGCGTTAATACAAATGCACAGCTTTACTTGGTCGTGTATGTAGATCTTGAAAATACGTGCATACATTTGCGCAAAAGTAGTGGGGCAATGTGCATACTGAATTTGTTTATAGAAATATATTTACTAAAAAACTTAAACGGCAATATTCGTTAAAAAATAATTTAAAAGCTTTATAAATGGATATATTCATACACATTTATTTGTTGCTCACTGTTATCGACTAAGTGATTTTGGCCTTATAATCATCGATAATCAGTGAAATATTTTCCAAAATTTCAGATTTTTCTGAGACTTTACAGGTCTCACTTAGACATGATTTCCATTGTACATTTTTTAATACTTTTCTGTATATACTTTATTTTCCGGTAACGGCAGGTAAACCATATCTGGAAATAAAGATCTGCCCAGAGAGTTCCGCGTTAGTGCCGAAAGAGTAGCTATTTAAATGTTTGTCTTCTGAAAGTAAAGCAGTTGAGAAGGAATGCAAGAGAGTTGACGCTTGGCTATCGCGGTCGGTCGACGCCTGGCAACTTTGCATTGCGGGGTTATCGCTGAACAGATTAAAAGGATACCCTTAGAGTGCCCAGTCTGGCCCATTTTTCAGTCATTTAATTTCTTGCAATATCACTACTGCCTAAAACAAAAATTGCTCTGATTTGGAAATAATCAAAAACAATCAAGGGAAGAGAGAGACAGAAGGACTCTTAGATCGCAAAACTCGGCCTGGAATATATTAAATTAACCTCTATTCAAAAGTGTTGCCAGTCTCGCAATCACCCCATAGAGGATAGTATGAATTCGAAGCGCCGAAGATTTACGACTTCTCATATGGCGAGTTGATGGAAAGAATGTACTTTCTAGCTCAATGGCGTAGCGTACTGCGAAAGCTGAGAAGCTAGAAATGGCATTAAACGCCCGAATAGGAGTGGTCAAAATGCACCATTAGTTCGAAGAAATACGGCTCTTCGCGTGAGCTCTTCTTTGATTTTTTTGTGAATTCCACCAGACAACGACCCCGTACAAAATAATTGGCTTTGGAGCTAGATCCCTCGACCTTATTTAAAAAGGAATGCCACCGATCGAATGAAGTTGGGCATTAGACACTTAATATTTCTGTTGAATAAGAAACAAACTAGTATATTCCGCAGCAAGCAAAACCATTTGTGATATAGTTCAAGTACCCTTGCGTAAGATCACACAAATTGTCCAGAAAGTTTTATCGAAGAATGATTGCCACGTCATAGCATAGGCGATAAGTCTCTTATATAATCCAAGACATCGTTGGTAACAAAGATAATTGGTGAAAGAACGCCCACTTTCGGGATACGCTCCTCATCCTACGCTGGGTAGAGGGGCAGCACCACTTCGCAAAATTCTGTCGACTCCAAACTTATTAAAATTAACTTATTTAGGAAGGCGCCAACCACCTAGCAGTTGTTTCTAAAATACTTCTCCATATATTTAAAAATTGATTTACCCTTCAAGTAGGTGTGCTCTGAGAGAGTCAATCTCTCCCAAGAAATCTTAATCTCTTCCAAGAAATCTTTTGTTTTTTTTTGCTATTGCAAATCAAGCAGCCTCTCGAGAGTCTTCAATAGACTGATATGCCTGAAACTCTTGGAAGTGTCAGCTTTTTTCTGCATTAAGAAAAAACGTTACCCTCCACCGATCCTCCACATCTTTGAAATATTCACCTACTCTTGCAGCTCGCTTAGATGGGAGTCAGTCAGCGACACTACGCCTCCACCAATTGCAGTTGTGCAGGAATTATTTTAGTATTAATTTTTACTGAAGATAGAAGACTCGAGTCTTCTCCTTTGATTGCCTTTGGTAGGAGAAAAAAGTCATGTTCAGCCGAATTAACCACCAAGATATTGTAAGCCTGAAGCGCTTGCATGCAAATACATACATACATATGTATGTAACTACATACAGTGCCGAAAATATAAATAGGCATGCGACATTAATAAAAATTAAATTAACAAAAGATAAATAGCCAAAACTTGTTAAAATTTCGCGTCCCAATTTATATTTCCGCTACTGTATGTTTGTATGTATTTATGATTCTATAAAATGTTCGTATCACCAAATAAAATTATAACAATCAGCAATTTGCGCCGCGTTCTAAAGTTTCAATGTATGTGCATTAGAGTGGATCACAAAAATAAAGACGGTTTTTCCACCGTAATTATAAAACCTAAGTATTGTAATTTAAAGCTTCCGCCAACATATTTCTCAGAAAAATATTAAGATTTACGTGATCTGAAAGTGCCTCAAAAAATCTCATTATTTTCATGCCGTTGATAAGTTTATTTTTTTTTTTAAATTTTAGCAGAACTTTTAAGCTTGGTTTCTTGTATCCTCTAAAGTGCTTTTTAGAAAAAATATTTTTAACAAGTACTTAAAAAACATTTCTTTAAAGACAAGCTTTTATTAGTGGTTAATAAAAAAAATCTACTCCGCACCATCTAAAGTTTAAATTTTTTGTGGAGGTATTTTTACGTTCTAAATATGAACCAAATCGGACCATAAATATGGATTTTTCAAATATCTGGGCTCGTGCGCCACCTATCAGGCAAAATTCTAGTTGAGTGATTCTTTTTTATGTACTTTATATACATTTCAAATATGAGCTATATCAAACCTTAAATACGGGTTTTTTTTTCAAATATCTCGACACCAGTGCCACCTAGCAGATTAATTCGTCTTTCACATTGCATTGTCAACGGATTCTGGGATAGGTTTAAGTCTCTAGTTTTTTCGGGAAGTTGGTTAAAAATTGATTGTAAGATTTGATTACACACAGCTGTGACATAATAAAGGCTTGTAAAAACTAATTTTATTTATGAAAACTCGATTTTTGGAGGTATTTTCAAATCAGTCCAGCTCACGTAAATCTTAATATTTTTCGAAATATTTTTATGAAGCCTTAAAATATAATACATTTTACACCACCAATGGAAAACGGCACCAATTTTTTTTTTATATGGGAGTGACGCACCCTAATGTAGATACATATGCATTTGTAATCAGCACAAAATATTTCCAAATTGATGCCGAATTCGCGCTTAACTTGAGAAGTTATGACTTTGCAAATCAATCCTAGTCTCACAGCAAATCCAAATTCCTAATTCAGGCCACAAATCGAGTGTAAAAAGAGGGCAAATTCGCTACTTTATCCTTTTTCCGTGTATTCAGCAATCAACAGAGGACAAAAATAAAAAAAATGCTAACAATGAAAGGCAACATGTGCAACAATTTATTGGCACACACACACACACACACATGCACACTTGTACTTGTACACACATTCACAAGCACGTCAAAAACAACACGCTCATATGTGGTTTAGGGATACAATTTTTCAGCTCATTTGCTGCTGTTATTTTCATTTCCCCCCCACACTCAAGTGCCACTCGGCCAGGCCAATGCTCAATGGGATGAGAAGAATTGGCGGTTTGACAATACTCATACATCTAAAAGGGCGCTTATGCCATTCTAAATGTGGTAGCGCCACCAATGTGGGAGACCTGCCATAAACACCCGGAAATGCTACAATGAGCAGAGGGCGCTAGCGGATTGTTGTGTTGTTGCGCACACCCACATGGTGCACACATGCGACACAAAATACATAGGTATTTGGCTAAGTGTGCTTGTACATTTGTGCATGGGTATTTTCCGTTGACTCCTATGTACATACATACATACATACATACGTGCTATATATTTGACGCTTAAGCGCTGCCAACACTCGCGTCTCCACAGCCATTTGTGGATTTAATTTAAAAGGAAATGGCTTCTCGCAAACAACTTTCGCTGCATGGGTTTTCAGCTCGTATACCGTGAGATACATACATACATACATACATATATAAAGCAACAATGTTGGATTATACATATGTAGGCGAGTACCTACATACATTGGCGTGCGTGGTCGCGAAAGGTTGCGCGAATGTCTGGCAAAAAAAAATGAAAAAAGCCGTTGCGAACGAAGTTGCAAAGGACATGTGAAGAGGCACGCGATGTTGTCCTTTTTATTACGATTATCTGTGGCATTGTTGCTGGTGTTGGCGCCGCTGTTGTTCCATTTAATCAGAATATTGTTGTTGGCAAATGAAAGTGAACGCGTCAATGGGTCGATTCGTCGTCGGTATATGTATGTATGTATAACTCAGCATGTATGTATATATGTATATGTTTGTGCGTGGGCGGGACTATTTTGTTGTTGCTGTTATTCATGCTTCAAGAATTAAGCGAGAAATTGCTATTCATCGTATAATTAATGTGTGTACATATGCATATTGATTTATTTATTTCACTATATTTCTTTCCTTAATTCGTCGTTTAGTTCGTGATATATTTAATTGCTTCTGTAATGCTGATTGCGTCAAAATGATTTGGCGTTTGCATATAATTTCGAAATTTTTGTATGCAATACTTGTGATTTATGAATGTACGTATGTACGCATGTCAACCAATTCATTTTATTTATCCTGGTGATTCTAAAATAATACCAGAAATTCTGAAATGTCCATATGTATGTTCGGGTGTCCCGTATATGGCCAATTTTAAAAAAATGTTCCGAATACTTTGAGAACGGGTTTCAATAACATTCCTTTTATAAAGATGAATTCGCATTTAAGGTTTCAGCTTAATTGAATAATTTTCTGTTGTGCCACAAAGATTTATAAGGTTATGAAAAGTTAGAGACTAATTCAGTTTGTTATAATGTAAACGTGAAATTTAATCCAAATCATTCTAACAGTTGGATATTTTTTTGCGTTGTGGCTTATTCAGTCATTAGTTTCTTTACCTGAATAGATAAAGTTTTATCAAGAAGATAAAGAGCAGAAAATTTCTCATTAAGATACCAAAAATAAGACCTTAAAACTTGTTCACTCCTATACTCTACTCAAAATATCTTTTTGTATATAACTTCATATTACAAAATTTCTCACAAAAATCTAATAAGTATGGAGGGGCACGTATGGCACAACTCGAAGTAAACAAGTAGGTTTCTGCTTATTGCACGCACGCACGTTGGCTTGGGCCGACAGTTTTTTTTTTAGAATTTTGATTAGTAATAGCAAAAATAATTCATTATGTAAAAAAAAATCTTTTGTGAAACGTGAAAATTTTTGGTCAATATCCTAGGCTCGCCCAAGTCCATCAAAGTTGAAGTACTAAAAAAAATGTTTTCTTGGCAAACTTTGATTTTCTACAAAAAAGGTCCACATACTAAATTATGTAGGACTAACACTTTCGAATATTATTGCAATTTTAGTAAAAAAATGTATTTATTAATTTTTATTTTTTGAGCATATTGAACTTTGATGGACTTGGGCGAGCCTAGGATATTGACCAAAAAATTGCAAATTTCACACAGATTATTTTTAAAGCATAACGAATCATATTTTTGCTATTACCAATCAATAGTGGATTTTCGACCCACCCTAACCCACGTTACTAACGTTACTGAAACCCCGTAAGAGGTGCGGTTAAAATAATTCGCATCAATTTTATATTTTTAAGTAGGATCAGTTCGATGGCATGTGATTTATTGCCGTACCTACTGTCAACTGCCGTGTATTTAAGATTTATAGACCACAGTCGCATATTAAAACAGGGCTTCGTAGCGGAGCGAAGCAAAAAAGTAAAAAAGGGTTTTAGTTGGAGCGGAGCTGGAGAAAAGAGCTAAAAAAAATTATTTGCTCCTTAGCTCCTTAAAGAAAAAAATTTCTCTATTTTGTTTTTGTTATTTTCTGGCCTAGTAACGATTTATTTAAGAAGGCTTACAGCCGAAAATATTTTTGTGGAAGGTTGCCACATGTTTGCTAATTTAAATTTAATTTAATTAATAAGATATATTAAATCTTGCAATATGGGTATTAAGCTGAAGAGGTTTAGGAAAGTTTACTGCGGAAAATATTTTTTAGAAGGGTTGCCACTTGTTTGAAAAATTTTGTTTTAATAGATTGATAAAATTAATGAAGTATTACAATACCGGAATCAAACAACACAAATATACTTGTAAGGAGCAGTGAAGCACGCCGGGTATTTTCTAGTAGAATAATAGCATAGGTGGCAACCTTCTAAAAAACTGATGCTCTAACATATATAATATGTAATTTATGTATTTCAAAAATAAATATATTTATCTCCTACAAATTCCTTTAATTCAAAATTTCTATTGATGCTATCGCTTCAATAACGGAAACTTAATTGCCATAATAAACAATTTAACCTACAGTTTATATTTGTTCAACTCTCAGCTGAATTAACTAAATTCACCAGCTGCTATCTGTGCAATTCATTAATTAGTGCAAATATTTTGCAACTAGTTACCAAATTAATACAAATAACTGCATCGAAATTATCGCCTTGCCTAACTCCCCGACTCACCTCAGTGTCTGCACGGTATTGTACTGAAATTGACAAAGCTCACAAACAGTGCTCCTCGAGGTGCTAATCCAACGCTCCAGGCAATGAATGTGCACATATGTGAGCGATCCCTTGCACAAACATGGCGAAACTAATCTGTAAATAGAATTTGTTTTAAAATATACGAAATAAAAAAATTGCGTTAATAATATTTGATTTAAGTAAAAATAAGTTAGCTGCATGCATTTGCATATATACATACAGTGCCGGCAAAAATATTGGCACAGAGAATTTTTCGCAATATCTGCAAAGTTTTTATTCTAATTTCTTTTCGATAATTTTTTATAAAAATATAGTTCGTCCTACACCAAAAAACATAAAAACTAAATCTCTAAACTTCGTGCGAAACTCAGGAAAATTCAATAAATTTGCAACGTTCTATTCAGATTTTTTTAAAAAATTCTAAGGTTCTTCCAAACAAAATACGTTCGACAATTATTTTCTGTATGGAGAAAATGAGCAACACCTTCCCCTAAAAAGTTCCAAAAATCAACGCGATTTTTTAGATACTTCAAACTTGCACTTTGCACTAAAATTAGATGGGCTATAAAACTGCGTACTTAGAATTTTTCTAAAAAATCTGAAGAGAAATTTGCAATTTAGTATGCAAATTTATTAAATTTTCCTGACTTCTGCACAAAGTTTAGAAATTTTGTTTTTATGTTTTTTCTTGAAGTACGAAATATATTTTTATTAAAAAATATTAAAAATATATTTGAATAAAAAAATTTTGCAAATATTGAGAAAAATTCTCTTTGCCAATACTTTTGTCCGGCACTGTATGTATGTGGCTATCAAAAAAAAAAAAAAGCGTTGGCCGTAGGGTATAACATGCATTTATGCAAATACATTAGGCCAGGTCGCAAGAAAAAGTTTCTCCAATAAGAATAAATATTATTGAACACGCGAATTTCTCTTTCACAATGTATCGAATGCCGGCTGAGTTGTTGCATGCAAAGATGCCCTAGGCAACTCTCGAGCTCAGATGATGCATATTATGGAATGCCAAAAGAGCAGAAGTATTTGGGGCTATCTTAATATGGAAAATTAATTCAATCGCGATTTCGAAATCCGATGGAACTGGCTGGGATCTTAATATCGTTTGCAACGATGACCACATTCGATCGACGATCTGCAAAGATATTTAAAAAGTGGGCATTAAAGCAAAAGCTGTCGTCTTTCTTTCCTCAGAAAGTTCTATGGAATCCCAGATTACTACAGCAAGGCAACAAAGCTGATATGCATGATCGACCAGTCTATATAAAAACCTCGCCTTCGTCATGGACTTACTTGATATGCGTTAAGGAATATTAAAGATCCCTACAAACTCTTCGCCAGCAAACAGGAAATTTCTACTGAGTTCCGGGAGAAAGTGTTATTCCGGAAAATTAGAAAGCAGGCAAGTACCCGAGAGGTAGATCTGAAATAGATTGGGGAAGCGGTTAAAAGCATAAATGCGCCAGCGAAAGTGATAGCTAAATCAGGCACCGAAACCAAAAAAGCTTTTACGCCCAAGTAGCAGCCCCAACTAAATTTAGCTCGAGCTGATTACTTACGGCGTTTAAAGGAGTTACACCCTAATCAGCTTACATTTGTTGCAATAGACGGCAGGGCCTAGCTGTCCAAGAAAATGGCGACAAACTTGCCAAGCCTTAAAACACTTAGTTTAGAAAAGGCAGCCTTCAGCTTTATCGAATACCGCTGTCAGGAAAATACTTGCAACACCAAGCAAATAGATTTATATTCTTAATCCCAGGTATTCAGAGAAAACGGCTGGTCCAACTCCGCTTTACATTTCGAAAACATGGATGTACAGATGTTGCAGCCAGGCGGAAGTATAAAGTTCCCCATGGAGCGTTAACAGCGGATCGCCCTAATCGGAATTAGTGGAGCATTAGAAACCACATCTACACTGGCGCTTAACGTCATGTTGAACACGGCACCTGCGGAAATTGCAGACGGAATTGTCGTAGCACGAACTGTTATTAGGCTCAGAGAAACCGGATGGCAACATTATGGAGCTCAGGAGGGCTGTGACTTCGCCCTCAACACGCCGGGTCACAGTAACATCGCGGGAAACAGGAGCAACATACTCAAAATACTGAAAAAAGAATACATGATTATGCAAAAGATTTTGAAGTTTTACTATATGGGTCTATGTCTTTTATCCTGCATTGGAAACTTTCCATCTTCAGACGATGACCCAGAAATCGAGAAATTGGACCGTGCGACTAAAAAATAACAGCCAATTTCACGAAAGCAATTTACATACATAAGTGAAAAATTATTTTGGTTTTTTTTTTTTAGTTTTATAAGGAAATTGACAGAACATAAAAAATCGTTTTACATTTAAATCGCTGGTTAAATCGGTTAGAAGCAATTGCTTTTTATTAAAATTTCAGATATTTTATTTAAATTTATTCGAATACCTCGAGTAAAAGTGATGACATTTTAAGAAAAAGCAGCGGTTGCTTCTCACAGTGACACACTAACGGAACATTTATGGGATCGGAAGACGTGGAATCCATCAACCTCTTTCCATGCAAACGCTCCGCATTACGAGAATGGTGGATATTAATTTTTTTTTTTTCGAAAGGCGATTGACCCGGCCTAATTTTAATATAGACGTATGTATGCCTGAATGTACATATGCTTGCATTATGTAAATAATTTTGAAAATGCTATTTTTTGAATTGATAACAACCAAGTTTTAAACAAATTGAAACTATCATATGTATTTGCCACACAGGCATATTAGATATTAAAAAAATTAACTAATTATTGCCCTTTTTATGCAAATTCAATTAAGTAATAAAATAAATATTGTGCTAGTCATTCGATGCTATGTCCATAGCGCGAAGATAAGTTACAAATTTGCATTTAAAAATTTGATATTTGTGTATGCTAATAACTTGTAGCCCTTAAAAAGGGTAAATGCTGTGGGGCCTTAAAACTGTTTTGCTTTTACTGAAAGTGCATATGTATATACAATTTTAAGAATGCCTTACAAACTCCTTTTATTAAAAAAAGGATACATAAATTAATTTTCCTTTTACTAAAGTCTACCTAATTTTACTTAAGAGGAGCTCCATGCCCTATTAGAGTTAAATCTTTAATGCATAATTTCCACCACTCACCTTTCTGGATTCTCCGAATTATGACAAATGCGGCAAACTAGCGAACCAATCGAACGTACCGACTCCGTGGGTGTAGTCTGTGGCGGACCCTCACCACTGCCACTCGCTCCGCTTGCCGCCATTTCACCACCTTCCGCCTTAGCTGCCATAGTGGCATCTCTAACCGCAGCTAAGCTCTTCATGACACCGCCGCTACCAGCTTGCAGCATCAATTCCCGCGTCGCACGACTTGTATTGCAATCCAATTCGACGCGCGCCGTTGTTATCGTTTGCTCAGAATGCTCCAACAAAATCCGGTCTAGAGTATGTTCGCCCGCAAATATTTTGCCATCTTCTGCCAATTGCATGGTCGCTAATGTCTTCAGTGCACTGCACTCCGATTGATCAGACTGTAGCGTACAATCGGAATCATCGGATTTTTGGCTTAATGGTTTATCATTGGACTCCGCTCCCAGCTGTGCTACGATTACTTGGTTGATTATTGCCATTGGATCGAAAGCTGATGGTGCTGGTGTTGTTGAAGTGGCGTGTTCCATAGCAGTTGATGTTTTTGTTATTGGTGTAGCTGCTGTCTTTATGCCTTCGCGCTTTTCGGTAATTACATGGACTCTGGCTGTCGCCCTAGCTGCTAGCGTAGCAAGCGTTGGTAGAGGCAACTGCTCTTTCGCACTTGAATGCTCTATAAGAAGGGGACAATAATAACAAAACAAGTTGCGTGAATTTAAATAACGTTTTGACTGGACTGTTTCCGAAAAGTGCAACTGTGGTTTTTATTTCTACGTACCATCATCTTTACTGTTGTTGCTTTTACCGGCTCTAGCTTCTTCCATATCGCTAAGTTTATCAATACCTTCTGCAGAATTCAAGTGTTATCCGTTTGGCGTAAACAATTTTTATTTATTTTTATTTTAAAAAATTTATGTACAAACAATTTGGTTTAAAATATTTCCGACATAATGGGTTTTTGAGTTGTTCTTTGCCTTGATTTTTTTTATAATTTTTTGTTTGAGTGTTTCAGTTCTTATTGAAATGTAAAATATTAAGCTAAGTTACGTATTCAAAATTAAGCGGTATACCGTATACGCGTACGTATTTTAATAGCTTATTTTCTACGCAATTCACGTAAATTCTTAAGCACTTCTCCTAGAATTCTATCTCCTTCTCATCTCTGCAGCTTCTGCATAAATCGTTATACAGGGCTCCAAATATAGACGTCATGTACCTAATGGTCCATTGTCCCGTTAGGATTCCTGTAAGAAGCCTAACGGTTAACTTTGAAAGTCTTAATAAACTCCGCGTTCTTCGTTCGCCGTGCACAGAGCGAGCGCAATACCATGCAGGTCTGCGGATTTTTCCACCTACTGTTGTTCGCTGCCCTAGTTACTCTCTCAACTTCTGAACACGGAAATCGCAGGGGAGGTTTAACGAGCAGGATCGCTTTCCCAAGTCCCATGTCAGATCCATTTCTAGCACATTCGTCTGCCTCCTCATTTCTTAGGATACCACTATGTCCCGGGATCCAGTCAATATTTATTATGTGTTGCTTATAATGCCTTTTGAGTTAGGCGTTCCCAATCTTAGGGCTTTGATGGCAGCTTGAGTCTCAATAACGAAGGCAAGTTTAAATGAGCTCACCAGCCTTGCCGCCACGCCGATTGCATATACCTAAACCTGAAAAACACTGCAGTGATCAGGGAGTCTATAGAACTCTGTTAGAGAAGAAGACGCCAGATTCTGTTCCGATATCTATTTGGAGCCGTCTGTTAAAATGGTTACTTCGTTATCGCTGCGAGCAATATTAAATCTTAGTAGCTTCTGTCGGGAAAATATCCATCGAAGTTTCGATTGAAGTCAGTTTCCGTAACCAATCTCTCGAGGATTGTCCCGTGATTCTTGCAAGTTCTATATCTAAGAATATCTAGGAGTATCTCTGTCGCCGCCTGGGGCTTTGAATAAATCGCTCCTGTTTTAAATAGGCATACATGCCGTTGCCCCTTTTGCAGGTTTAGTAGATTCCTCTGGTGGTAGCAAGAGAAGAGGAAAGCCTTCTTTGCGATGGAAAGATCAGGTGGATTAGGACTTGGCTTCACTTGGCATTTTCAATGGCGGGATTAGTTGTGCTTAGGAAGTGGAAGTGCAAGCAACTGACATCAGATACTCACCGCCCCGACTACCTTCGATAAAGTTTCTCGTCGAATGTCTGAGCCCTTCAAACATTTTCTAATGGGTTTTTTTAATTTAGTAAAATTCAAACCATTCATTCCATTTTTCAGTCAGAAAAAGGTGTCAATACATATTCGTATTTAAAAAATGTATACTCTAAGGTTTGAAAATGAATCCATCTCAACTCCAGTCGCCCTTTATGCGCCTGAAGAGGTAATCGAACTATCATTTTTGGTACTTAAATAAAATCAATACAAATACCCGGCGAAGGGTAAAACGAAGGGGCAGCAAAGTTACCAAGAATTTTCATTTCCATATTTTCATCAGGACAAATAGCCAGTAGGAAAAAACTGGTCGGGTCAACGAATTTTCTTCTCTACTCCTGCTATGTAGTTGAAATTATTTAAATATGCAATGCTTACATTCAGGCGCCAAAAAAAATTGCACGAATTTCCTTCAGGGTGCAAAAGTAATAAGAAACGTTTCATGATAAACTTTACAAATGCCGACCATCATGTCCGTTGGCTTAACGCACATTTATTGTAGAATACCTACTTTTGTGGCCGGAAATGGTACAACTTCGACTTCCTGTTTACTTTGATTTATCGCTCGGCAAGGTTTTTCTATAAG